TTTAAGTTATTTGAAAGGTTAGAAATGTGATAATAACATTTTGACACCCCACAGATTCGAACACGCGTCTCCATAATGATGGGTGAAATGTCAAACCAGTCCAGCCACAACACTTGCTTTGCTAAATCATCACACCATACTATATTTATTCATATCCGGTTAAACCGGCATTTTGAACGGTTAAACCGGTTAAACCGGTCAAACCGCGAACCGGAGATCAAAACGGTTTGACCTCCGGTTCGGTTTTCAAAACATTGCTTCCAAGTAGTTTTGTTCCATCTGCAAACTCGAAAGTCAAAACAAGTATCATAAGACAAGAAGAGGCCTAATTTCCCCCGCGCATAATATGGAGAACCATTTTTCCGATGTCTGCAGGTATCAGCCAAGGGTATGGAGTAGTGTATTTACTTATTGCTACATGGTGGTTGTACAAAATCTTAAAGAAGAGAAGGAAAAAGAAGTTTCAAAGGCAGTTCTTCAAATAAAATGGAGGTTTATTATTGCAATAACAACTGTCTTCAACTAAGGGTAGTATTGAAAAGACCAAAATATTTAGTACCAAGGAGTTGGAGAGAGCAACTGACAATTTCAATAGGAATAGAATACTTGGTCAGGGGGGCCAGGGCACTGTTTATAAAGGAATGTTGTTTGATGGAAGAATTGTTGTAGTTAAGAAGTCCAAAGTACTGCATAAAGAGAAAGTTAAAGAGTTCATTAATGAGGTGGTCCTTCTTACACAAATTAATCATAGAAACATTTTACGTTATTACATTGTTGTTTGGAGAATCAAGTTCCTCTGCCAGTTTATGAATTCATTCCCATGAGGACACTTTTCCAATACATACATGATCAAAACAAGGACTTCCCATTAACCTAGGAGAGAAGCTTAACAACTAAAGAAAATGTCGCAGGTGTACTTTCCTGCTTGCACTCAGCAGCCTCCATTCCCATTTATCATCAAGATGTCAAGTCCTCAATTCTTCTACTGGATGAAAAGTACAAGGCAATAGTTTCAAACTTTGGGACATCAAGATCAAAGACCATTGATCAAACTCATTTGACCGCAACTGTGAAGGGCACATTTGGGTACTTAGACCCTGAATATTTCTAGTCAAGTCAATTTACAGAAAAGAGTGATGTTTAAAGCTTTGGAGTTGTCCTTGTTGAGCTCTTAACTGGAGAAAACCAATTTCTTTAGCAGGATGAAGGAAGTGGAAGCAAGAAGTTTGGCCTCACATTTCATTCTTTCAATGGAAGAGAACAGACTCTCTAATATTCTTGACGCTTCAATAAGGAAGAGTTCTGCACTTGAAGAGATAACAAAGGTAGCTAAACGTGCATATCAATGCTTGATCTTGAGTGGTAAAAGGAAGCAAAAGATGATAGAAGTTGCTATGGAGTTGGAGCAGTTTCATCTTTTGCAAAACAAGTCAAATGGTCAACAAAATCATGAAAAGCGTAGTTATGTAAAAATTGAAGTAACCAACGAATGGGATAGTGCCTCTACAGGTACTTTGTCATTAGACATGGAGCCATTATTTTCAAGTGAATCATGGGGATCTTTAGAAATGCAAGTGATCTCAAATACCATATGAGGTCTACAGGTTTCATTTTAACTTAATCAAAGTGAGACTTCTCCCACTTTAATGGTTTAACTGCTTTATCATATACAGAATGCATATATTCCATCATGTGGGGCTTAATGCTCCCTCTCTTTTTTTCCCCTTCTGTGTTTGAAAAGTTTTAGTTCATTTTATTTTTGTTGCTTCATTGTTCAAATAATGTTTCTTCACTACTTGGTTACAGTAGTTTTATATAATGAAAGACTAAACTGTTACTGAACATTTCACTTCCAGTTTTAAATTCATTGCCTCACAAAACCATCAAGGTTAAATCAAGTCCTCAACATATGATAGATGGCATGTATCTTTTAGATTCGGTGCTACACACACATTAATATGTGTGTGCTAGATCTATTTAATCATAAAGGGCTAGCACAAAGTCATTTCCAATTTTCAGTATAACTACCCCGAAATGCTCAAATTTAGTTGTGGTCTAAGATATGAGGATGCAAAGTACTTGTTTATAAGATGTAAGATGATTTAGAGTTTGGATGCATTGTTGCAAATGCTGGAATTTCAGTTTTGTATGTCTGGTTCAATTGTTGATATGGGTCTGTAGTTTGAGACTTAGAGTATGCGTCTAGCAATATCAAAGTTAGAGAATGGGGAATCATTTCTTTCTCTTTTTTTGGCTGCTACTGTCTGGTTGGATATCTTCGAGAACTTGCAATGGGAAGAGGAGAGAATTTTGGAGATTATTCAAGCAAGATCATTCGTGTGGATTAAGGGTTGAGAGCTTCCAGTCCTTTTAGTGATTAGTGTATCAACCCCCAGTTTTTTGCAAAAGATGTCTGTAAGTGTTGAGTGTATTTGACATCTTGTTCTTTGCAGTGTGTTCTGTGTTGTGCAGAGGACGAGTTACAATGCTGCTGAATACTCCGTGTGTCTGAAAATAATTATTATCTGAATTTGAATTTGCCTCAAATTAATTGTCATTTTTTTATCTTTCAATTAGACAAATAGTTTTTTCTTACAATAACCCTATCATTATTCATTCACTTTAATTAACAATCCAATTACAAAAAATCTTTTTTTTTTCAATTTTTTTAAGGAAATTGTAAATAAATACATATATTATCCTTAAATTTTTAATTTATGAAAAAGAAAATTTATTTTGGAACACTATATGATTCTTGAGTTGCATCTTTGTGAGTTGTTGGACTTTTTTGGGCCCCCAGTTTGAGCTGTTCATTCTGGGCAACCCAACACTCAATACCGACAGATCTTAGGGTAAAAGACACCCTAGTAATTGAACTTAATTATAACTTTCTATTTAGTCACTCATATTTCAAATTTGTAAGTTTAGTCATTAAACTTGGTTTTAAAGTGCAACGTTGGTTAGTCACTAGCTGTTGACTCCATTATTGCATAAGTTTTTCATTTTTTTCTCTTTTTTTTTTTT